AAGATTATGTCCTAAAACATGCTGGCATGTTTTTGGTGATGCTCTCGTCTCCAAAGTGTTAAGTGGAAAAAAAAAACATCTTTAACTGCAACTTTATGCCCTAAATATTTTTCTTGATTAATTAGTGCAAAAAAAAATCATATTCTAAGATATCAAAAATTGACTGAAGAAACATCATTCTGTAAAAAAAGTGCAAAAAAAAAATCTTAAAAACATTGTAAAAGGGAATGTGTTCCCAATCTTTCCCTGAAATTATTTCCCAGGACATTTCTAGCTTCTCTTGTTGTTCTTCTCTCCTAAACACGCTAAGGTTTGTGTTAGACTGAGTAAGTTAATTGTGACTAAACTGAAACTAGAAGATCATTATAGTTCATTACATATATTTTTTTGGGACATTTGTGTTTGGTGGTGTGTCATGGTCAAAAAAAAAGGTTGGAGAACACTGGTGTAGAGGAATCGTCCAATCAATAGACCAATTCATTTATTGTCAGTTAATGTGTCGTGAAGAAACAAATAACAGGGAAAAAAAAAACCGTATCTTTTAACAGTTACGGTAGACACAAAAAACAAACATTGAAAAAACAAAGTGTTTAAAAATGTGTACTGTTAATAAACAAAACAAACGATATCGTCAGCAATTCTTCAAAAAAAAAAAACTCTTACTTTTGTCCCTGGGAGTTATAAAGTTGTGGCTTTAGAGTTGTGATATATTTTTAAGGCCTTTCTTTGGAATAGTTCTACGTTCCACTGGTCTAAAGTGCTAATGGACGAAGTAGTAGAACGTTGTTCGTTTGGCATCCAACCTTTAGGGTCATGACCAGGAATATGTAGTGGAGGAAAAAAAAAATGTTTACGTTCCCAAAATTTTGCTATTGTTGTTTGCAGTTTTCCTTCTTCTCTTTTGGTTTAGTGCGCGCCGGTTTTTCCGTTTGCCGTTTTGTGGGTGGAATGAAGGCGGGCTCTCCGGGGACGTCGTTCAGGCCCGAGTGTGACACGGAGACCGACTGACTCGATGGACCTGCAGGACAGACCAGACAGAGGATGTGAGTGAGTAAGTTGGCAGTTGTTGTTGTTTTTTCCATCTCAATCAGCACTGACGAGGTTTATTATTTTTAATTTTTTTACCCCACCTGTTGGTTCAGGTGGCAGTTGGTTTGTTTCCTGTCTCCGCCCCTGAAAGGTGGGATCGAGCTCCTCTGCGATGTTTCTGATGTTCTGGGTTTGTCTGTAAACACAACGTTGACACATGAGAGTCTGCCATCAGTCAGGGAGTCACGTCAGCGTAATGTAGAGTGAATTCCTGCAGGGGTAATTACGGTGACGTGGAGATAGGACTGGGAGGCTGGTTCTCTGGACTGCAGTCCTCGGTGGGCGACGGAAGTCCCTCTGAGTCCAGTCGTTCTCGCTGGACCTGCGTTTCAGCACAAACATCTTGTGGTTCTAATTGGAGCTGTTAAAAGGAACACGTTAAATAGTTGTGATGCTAATCTGATTAAGATTTCTAACACAGACGGAGGGGTGTAACGTACGTCCAATAATTTGTTTTAATTTCTTGATTAACCCTTTGATGCATGACCCATGATATACAGAGTTAAAAAAATGTTACTAAGTGTTTTTAGACATAAAAATATGAACTTATTCTGCAGTTGCAAAGGCTGACCACTGTATGGCAGTGTTGGGTGATTCTCAGGCGTCCACTGTAGAGGCTTATATGCAACACTGCCATCAAAACCTATTCTTATCATAGAAAATGACATTTTCATAGCTGTCCACTGTAGTGACCGTCATGCATGAAAGGGTTAATGATTAATCGTGGCTATAATTAATTACAAGTGTGGTCAATCTTGGTTAATAGGGTAAGAGAAAATATCAATACCTGAAATATTGCGATATTTTCTTTTACAAATACCATTTGACTACAGTTAAATTGTTTAAAAAACATCCACTATATATATATCACCGTGCCTATAGTATCGCAGTATATCACAATATATTGTATTTTAACCCCTGTATTGTGATACGTATCGTATCGGCAGATTATTGCCAATCCACTGCCCTTAATTATTATGCTGTTAATAATCACATTCAACGTTTGACAGAGTTTTTTTTCACCTTTCTCTCTCGTGCAGCTCGTCTGTCGTGGTACGTGATCATCGCCCTGTGTTCACGCCACGACGACGGCCCTTCCAGTTCACAGGACCTGTGCTTCAACTTCATTTCCTGCTTCTGCATGAAACGTGCGATTTCCTGACGAAGCACAGACACAGTCACCATCACTGAGGTCCTGTGTGACGGAGCTCCAACCACAACTTCCACTAAGGTTGGTACACTTTCTACACCCTGCCATTCAGGTCAAAGGTCAGTGGGTACATTTATGCACCGAGCAAACTTCTGACCCTCAACATGAACCTTGACCTCAACTGACCCTAACCCTGTAAAGCTTGAAACCAAGGTGAAATGTTTAAATTAAGGTTGAATTAAAAAAAAAACATTCTGATAAATGAGGTTTAGTGTAAAATTCTTGGATTAAACTTAATCTTAATCCCTAAATTTAAGATCAGTGAGGGTCAGGGTTTAGATGAGGGTTAATGCCTAAGATGACAAAGTAATGTTTGATTCTCTTTGTAATGTTCGATTTTTTATTTATTTTTTAACAGGTTCATCAAGGCTGGTCACAGGTCAGGTGGTCTGGTACCTCATCCTGTGCTACTTGTGCTGCTCTGAAGTCTCCTTCTGGATAAGAACTACGAGGAGACGGACAGGGGTTCTGTAAGAACGAGAAATAATGATTTTAGAAAAAGGACAAAGGAGTCATTTATCCTCAGAGTTCTATCACAACTACCTTCTTCACCAACTTCTCCTCTTCCTCCTGCAGCTTCCGGGCCAGCTCTTCATCTTCGAGGACCTGCTGCAACTCCCCAAGGTGTAGGCCGGCCTCAGCTGGGTCCTGTTCCAGTGAAAGTCCTAACAAAAAGGTTTGGCATTGACAAAATGTTTATTAGTCAGATCTTGATGCAACAGGAGAAAAAAATGTTGCCAAAGAAAGGAGGTAAGATTACATCAAATCAGATAACAAAGGTGCCAAACAACCACACTGATTACAGGGACGGAGCATGTGCAGACACGCTCCAGATGCTGAAGGACTATTCCCTGAAAACGTCCAGGCTGAAACAACACACTGAAGATGATTGAAGAGCTAGTCACAGATCAGAGGAAACGATTCAGTCACAGTGAGAAACCCCCAAAATCACCACAAAACCCAAAGACTTGGTCTAATGAACGGACGACGGAGCAGAAATCAGAGCAGCAGAGGGAACACAGAGAGAAAAGCACACTTCCTGAAGATCTCCACCTGCAGTTGGCGATTGGCTGGAGTCCGTGGCGTTACCTGCCGAGACATGGCTCGGCCTAGCCCTGGTCGAAGCCCTGCGAGGAGGCCACTGGGTTCTCCTCTCCACCTCCTCCTTCTCCTTCTCCTCCTCTATTGAGACGAACCTTTCTTCTGCTGTCCTTTGCCACTGCCCCCGTTGACTTGTTGTCCTTTTGACCCTGTGGTGATTTACGTTCTGCTCGCCTTCGCCTCCGTTTGCGTAACCGTGTTCTCTCCACCTTCTACTGCCTTGCCTTTCCCTGCTGACGTGGAAGGAGTGTCTGCTGCTAATCTGGTGAACTTCTCCATCACGCTCCCCTTCATCACAGTGCCTGTCTCGGCCGTCTCTGTGATCTCTCCCACTGTCCTCCCGGTGTGATGATTTCCTCCTCTTCCTGATATCTCCATGGAAACTGTGCCTGGTGGGAGCAGCTCTCTGGAAGTCTCTCTGATGTGGTTGGGAGCTGCAGCAGGAGACCTCACTCCCATGGAGCACCTGACTGTCTCTTCTTTGAGGTCTTATTTGGAGTGGCGCCCCGTCGCCTCCTAGCTTCACGGGCACACCCCGCTCCATGAGGACCTGGCCCAACATCTCCCAGACTTGTCTGCTTTCATCCGACCGTCTGCTTGACGCCCGGGCGTTGTCCTGAAAATGGACATGTTTGTCGGGCTGGTCCTTGTAGCTCCAGGTTCTGACCAGATCCCTGTTCCTGTGTGCACTTCTGTCGTGTATCCTGACCGACTCGGTGCGACTCAGGTGCCGCTCTCTACCACGAGCCGACCTGGAGTCTCTGTCCCCACGTCTCAGCCTGTTGTCTTCTTCATAGACCTCTCTTTGGCTCCTTCCACAATTCTGATTTCTCATCATCATCCTCTCGTCCCTGTCGTAGTCGTCGTCGTCCTCCTCCTCCTCCTCCAGTCCTTCTCTCTCCCCTTCATAGACGACGACCTCATCTGTGAAGCTGCGGCGAGGTGAAAGTTGACTTCTGGACGTCTTCTCCTGCGAGCGTCTTGCGGAGGCCCGCTGATGATGTGGTGCCGTGTTGACTCTTCTGTTCCATCTCTGAGACCACAAGGAGAGCTGTTCTTTGAAGACTGTGTCCGAGTCCGAGTCCTCACTCAAAGACTCTCTGAACTCGTGCCTTCTGTGGTGAAAAGAATACCCATGTCCTTGATTTGACCGTGAAGCTCCGTTCCTATGAGCCAGCAGTTCTCTTGGAGAGACAGCCAAAGTGCCGTTGGACTCTGACTGGTTGTCAGAGGTAGAATATTGCCCCCTAGCGGAGTTTGTTGGATACTGCTCCTCTCCTTCGAAGTTAGAAAATAGATGCATGTCATATTAGTAACGAGTTTGTTCCAGATATCGGTTGCCAGAGTAAAACTGCAACGCGTGGACTGGGACTATTCAACACGAAAGTGAAGAATTAGGACGATAAACACACAAGAAATGTCTTCAATGTGTAAATGTTAACTGTACACAGAAATACAAATAAAAACGTTAAAAAAAACTCTCTACTCTCATGCTGACTCTACACTGCAAGCGCTAATTTGTGTACTATGTCTGATGTAACCGCATGATTATCGATTGTTAATAAGATTACAATTAATCTTTTTTTTTAAATCTGTTATAAATGTAACTTAAGACAAATTATTTATTATTTAATAATTACAGATTGAATCCTGTCGTTTTGGGTTTAATCGCTTAAACCCATCCTGATTTCCTGATCTACGGAGCGGGTCGAGGGTCAAATTACAACGGTACGCGCGTTAATTGGCCGCTAACTAAAATTCAAATGCGTATTTACTACAAAGCACATTCACGAAAAATGTAAAATAAGAATAATGAATGCAAACATCTAGAGATAAAGATAAATAAAAGTCATTTGCATTCACTTTTTAGAACCATGTTCACTGAGCAGCCGATGTACAAGTTGACTTAACGAGACATTTTACCGTAAAACGTGTTAGAAAAAAACTGTCAAATGTAGACAGTGAATCATTAAAAAGTTTTAAGTTTTTAAGTTGCGTTTGGAAACGTGATAACAAGAACAATAGGCAACAGAGAAAATGGTTCTAAAATGACCTTAATTTAACTATTTCAAACTGACATTTCAGTCACATGAGAACCTGTGACTGTTGTAGAGATAAACACATCATAAACTGTACCTTCACTGTGGCCGTTCTCCCCTCTCCTCCTCACCCTAATCCGCTGTTCCTCCTCTTCCTGCAAGCGTTTGGCCACTTCCTGTCAAGACAGAGACACAGAGGTGATTGTTAAATGGGTTGTAAATTATAATTAGGGAAATAAAAAGAAGCAAACAAACAATAAGATTTAAAAAATATTATTCATTATTTATATTTTTAAAGCTTTCACATGTGTTTCCAATACTTTACAGCCTGTATGTTTATTGTACGTAGTGTGTTTTTAGTTTTTTTTTGTCCTACTCGTTTTTAAATGTGCTTTACGATCACAGTTAATGCGGATACGATTATTGCGACAGTACTCTTTTCGACCAGTAGATGGCATTGTAACACCAACTCTCCAGGAAAAGAACAACTAACGTTCACAAATTTTAGATTTAGACACTTAAAGACACAAAAAATGTACAAAATACAGCTTTCTAAATTGAAAGAATAGAAATGAATACATTTTGTCATCATTTGGACTAAAACAACACTGAGCAAATTGGAATTATTTATATTCTAATGACTCTAAAAAGTGCAAAAAGGAGGTAGCAACGTGAAAGCAGATTTAGTTTATTTCTAATATTAAACGCACTTCCTGTAGAGACGCTGTTTCCCATTGGTGATCAAACAATATTACAAATTTTAAAACAAAAGTCACTGCCACCGTTTCAGTCAAACTAACACCTTGTCACTGGGGAATGCCTGCTCTCATAAGAGCCGCCATATTTGTCAGCTTATTAAAGTGGGGCCACTTCAACATGTCTCTGTGACACTTCTCCAGGAAGGGTCAGAAGCAATGACGTTCTCCATAAATCAGCAACTTCTTCCCACAGATAACACGAGATATCTCTCTCTCCGTGGAAGGCATTTAGATCATAAATCTGCTCTAAAAGCTAACACAGCTCCTATTGCTGCACAATCAGTGCATGCATGTCAGCCACACGGACGGGATCAGCAAATAATTAACAGCCAACCACGGCAGGTTAAGCATGAAGTGCCGCAGGGATCTGGCATTTAAAAAGTGCACAGCCAGATGCCTCCTGTTTCTTAATTAAGGACACGAGCCACAGGGAGGCAAATATTTAATCAACACCTCTGATCAGCAAGTCATTAAGGAAGGTACACTAATGGAATTGTTGATCGTTCACGGCTCGCTACTCACACAAACACTCGTAAAAAGATAATTACAAAACACGGGAACAGATCTGCTCACGTATGATGTGCTGTGTCGCCACGGCGTTATCCTTAAACACGGTAACGTCGGTCAAGTCGTTTGCCAAAACCCCTTCACAACAATGATAATTCGGCTGCACAGGCCTCCCTGACTCCATCTCCTCCAAACAAGGAGCTTTTATGAGGCGGCCTTCTCTAAAGAGGAAACTGCAGGCTAGAGGAAAATATTACGCTGGATCAGCCTGGTGACGCACAGGAGCAGCTGGGAAGTTACAAAGCTCCAGTCTGCACTGGGCACTTTTTTTTCTGTAAAGCGACTGATGTGGAGAAATTTGTGCTGTAAAGAATGCACAGCACCGTAAAACGCTGTTCTGAAGGGGGCGGGGCTTCAGCGTGAACACTGAACAAGGGCGAGGTGATTGATGGGAACCATCTGGCCTCCCTGTTGTGTTTTGGCTTTTCAAGATGAACTGTTGTTGTTGTTGTTGTTGTTGTTGTTGTGCATCAACCAAGTTGAAGAAGAAGGAGCCAGTGGATCACTGTGACAGGATCAGCTGTACGTGAAGCTGTAACAACATCTGTAACTTCATTCACAGAAGACGACGGCAGCGGCGGCAGCAGCCAGCTAAATGCTAACACCAGAACTCTAACATCTGCTCAGGGATGACAACATGGAGACAGAGTGATGTTGAGTTTAAAAAAAAAACATTATTTGTCATTGTACATATATACTGACACAGCAACACGTCCAACACACCACAGCCAACATCAGGACTTCACCTCTGGTCACAAGGCCTGGTATCTAAGCTATAAGAGGAATAGGTCATAATCATGAAGGGTCAAAAACCTGGTATCTAAGCTATAAGAGCATTATGCAATAGGTCATAATCATGAAGGGTCAAAAAGGTCATATCTGGGAACACCTTCATTTGCTGAAATGAAAATATTAAATATCAAGCTAGCAGTTTTAACAAGTTTAAAAATAATCATTCCTCCTCAATAACTATTTTAACAATAAAGTTTTAAGACGATTTCACGTTTAATTATCTATTTTCCAGTGACGCAGTAGCTGCGCTCTGTTGTAACGAATGTAGGCAGTGCCCTCTTGTGGCCATAGATGATATGACTGCTTTTGACATACAAGTACAGGTTGGGAATATAAGTCGCAGGTCCGGCCCAAACTACAAATAAGCACAACTTGCAGTTCAGAATAGATGGTAATTGCACAGCCCCAGCACCGGGCATTTACACTCTAAATATGTACACTTTCACTACTGCCTATTCTGGGAACCTGGCAATAAAAATCTCACATCTCCAGCTCTCCGCCTGGAAAAACACGCCCACGATGCAGAGCTGTTGCACTTTCTTTTTTTTTTTTTTTTTTTTACAAGTGATACAAAGACAATCGAACTCCTGCTCCCTGAGCTACAACTGTTGAAATTTATGTTGGTATAAACTGCAAAGTTAATGTTTCCTACACGTCGATAATGCTCATCCACTAAAGACTAATGCATATGTGAGGGCAGAGAAGGGGGGACAGGGGGGGGCAAAGTCTGGACTTTAACTGCCTGAGATTTTTTCCGGCATCTGACGGACGAGCGTCTGTGTTTAACAGCTGATTTCCCTGGTAGCCTTCGCTCTCAGTTCACTGGAACCATCAGAGGCTCAGAGCAGCACTTTGCTGCATCCGCCATTCATTATGGACTCCAGTGATTCCTTGGAGTCAGCCATACGATACTCCCTCACTCGCCGTTAACAGCCGCATAATTGAGTGATATACAAATGTCCTGGACGCCACGTGAGTCTAGTGCTCTCTGCAAGAAGCACCAACACAAACATTTACAGGAGGTAATGGGTTCAATTCTGAGATGAAGTCGAACGCCAGATTATATCAACTTCACGTGTAGCTTTTGGCAACATAAAATATTGTCCTCCTCCACCACGAGCAGCTGTTTTCCACATTCTAGAGTCTTTGACATTTTATGTTTGACGGAACAATTTCTCTATATATTGGCAGCAACTTGTGTTGTTACAGTAACAGGGAAATGACAAGGCTTTGTTTAAAATATATACTGCCCCCCCCCCCCACCCCCCCATCCTCCCCCCACTCCTCTGAACAGACAAATATTACAGTTCTGGGAGTTTGTTACTTCTCTTCTCACCAACATTTTTATATCAAACCATTGGCTGCAATCAATGCCAACTTGGTGAGGGTTTCATAGCATTCATACCTGTGGTCAGTTTGAGTGTCCAGTCAACCTCATCCCCTAATGACACTGCAGTAAGTACACACACACACAGACAGACAGGGTGGACTCCCAAAAGAAAGATTTGTTGGGGTTGGGGCATCGAACCAGTGACCTTCTTACATTCCCACAACAATTGTTGCTTTATGGCCATAAATAATAATAATAATTTGAACTATATTGATCCCATATTTGGGAAATTGTTGTGTTAGCAGCAAATATGCTGTTAACAGGCGCCAAGCATGTGATTCCTCTGGGAATCGAACCCAAGACTCTGCTCTCTGCTTCAGAGGCAGGCGTGCTAACCGCTACACTACAGTACCGAGTAATACCAATAAACAATGATATTAATATACCATTTAAGTATGTCATATATTTTGTAATTATTAAAATTAAAGACACAGCACTCCACTCACACAGTGCTATAATTCACACACACAAAAAATGTCAAATGACTTTGTATAATATTCACCTCCAACTAAAACTGATTTTTTTTTTTTTTTAGTAAACTGACACAGCCAGAAACTTACAGGGACTGTTGAAAAAGCTATGGTAAATAAGACTGCCTTGTGCAGACTGCGAGATAATTGGCTTATGAAGTCACAAACGCACACAGATGGTCCATTTAAAAAGATTTATCACGCTGAGATGGAGCGCGCGTGTGTGTGTGTGTGTGTGTGTGTGTGTACGATGAGTAGGTTTATATTCACAGTAGTTTTCTGCAGTTTTTCCAAATGCATTTAATGATGATTTTCATTTTTCTGTTTTTGAATGAGAACTTGTTGATGACAATGATTCATCTTTTGCCACAGGTTCAAATCCAATTCCATCTGATTTTTCATAAATGAATATGAATATTTTCAGTACATTTTAAAGGAACTGGATTTCATCCATAGACGAGAAAAATAATCTAGTTCTAACCTGGTGTTCGGGGTTTTACAAAGAAAGAGTTCTTAAGTATGAACTGATAAACAGAGAAATAGTTTTGTTATATTTTCAACTTGTCTTAAAACCTTTCCACCTTTTGACCTTTGTTTTGTCTACGTCTCAATTTGGTTTCTCACCTCGTCGTCCAGCTCTCTCTTTCGCGCCTCTTCAGCGTTACGCTGCATCTCATCCTGAATGACACGGGCGAGCTCAAAATCTTGTTCCTCCCTACAGGTGAGTCAGGAAAATCAAGGAAGAAAAGGTTTAAATTCAACGTTGCTACTTTCACCTTCAACAGGTCACATTGGTCACAAATGTGAAAATGAATCAAAGAGTTTGGTGTGAGATTCAACACCGACGCCACAATAAAACATCATCAAATATTTTAGCTAGTAAATGTAAATACTACACAAATATAACTCTTAAGTCTTGTACTGCAGTTACCTACAGTTGTCTGGACGACTGTCGGACCACACTCTGCTGCGCCCACTGACTCTCCTCCTCGTCCTGCAGCCTCTTGGCCACACGGATGTCATTCTGGACTAGCTGGTTCTTCTGGACGTTGGTGGAATAATATTGTTCAACTGGGAGGACACAATGGGAAAGAGAGAGAAACAGAGGATATGAAAACCTAAAATTAGTGGCCAGATCTGGTTTCTATCAGAAATTTCTAGAACAGTTCTAAAACTGTTGCTTATCTTGGACTAAATCCCAAAAAAGAGTGTCTCAGAGGATCTAACGTCAAACACACCATGATGTAAAAAAAAAAAAAATACCAATAAAATAATTTAAATAGAATGTCCCCATTTTTAGAAGCCAACAGGAAGTCCTGGTACCAGAGTAAAATAGATTCAGTAGGTGGCAGTAATGCAACCCGGTAAGCTCAAATAAGAAGCCAGACTGTGTGTTAGCAGGGTTAGCTTAGCCTAGCCTTGGTGAAGACTGTTTTGCAAATGAAAATCTTACGTACATGTAAGGCATTAGCATGTTGCAAACAAGCCGCCAAGTGACAACCATGTCACTGGTATGCTCTGTGCTAGCTGCTACACACACACACACACACACACACAGAGAGAGAGAGAGAGAGAGAGAGAGAGAGAATGGATACCTTCTGCAGGCCCGACATGCACACACCAGCACAACCATAGTGAGAGAGAGGAGGGAGGAGGAAGCGGGGGTGGGG